TTTCGCATTTATAATATTAGATAGATTAGATTATTGGACGAATGGCCGCTTACGGTTAAATTCAAACGACATAATATGTAATGTCTAGCGTTTTAAATGAGGTCAAACTCCAAAATTCCATTAAAATTTTGCCACAAAACAGATTGCAAGCGGCGTTTCCGAAAAAAAAAATGGGAATCCTTTCAGAGGTTGACTATTAGCCATAGATTAGTGGTCTAATTAGTAGACGCATGACTAGTAGACTAATCGTAGTAACTTAAATAATCATTAAATCTCTTTATGTGACACTTTACATTTTATTTAGCTAGTTAAATGGTATTTTTAAATAACATTTCGAAAATTATTCATTTTATCGGAAATTTGAATGTGAGAAAATAAATTGTTTCCAGCTTTTGTTCTCGGACTATTTTATTAGAATGTAATTCTATAGGGGCGGTGGATAAGGGTTGAAATCAGAGCATTCCATTGTGGATTGTAATGTATTAGGGTGGAACGTTCGTAATGTGTGTAGTTTTTGATGAGTTTTCCCAAATTAGTTGTTACTCTTTACATAGTTTAGGATTGGTATTTTTAGGTTATGTCGAGATCAGTATAGTTTAATTACAAATTTTATTATAGTTTTAAATTAAATTATATTCTATGAGATAAAGTTTTACGATCGGTAGAAAACGAACAATTTTGTTATTCAAATTTTAAAATAAAAAGTGCAGAAAAGTCAAGTCCAATTTTTTATTTAAATCTAGTATTTAAAGTAATCTATACTAATGTAATAAAGCGTAAACACACATTACTTTGTTGCCTAAGATGTCAGCAATTACAGCATATTTTTGAATAATTATTTCTTTAATAAAGAGCCCTACACTTGCGTCACGCTTTAGGCTATATATTTTCACGCTATTAAGCTTAGGGGGTACAAGAATTGGAAAAAACCTTCATGTGGGAAAGGGATGACAAACAAGCTGCCAACATCAAGGAAGCAAGGTTGTCATGATTGTCATTTGTGCATTTGAATTTTGACATTAGCAATTGAGAATTTGACAAATGAAACAATAAAATTAAGTTTTTTATAATTTCACGCGGATGAAGTCGCATGGGAACAGCTAGTCTAAAATAAAATCGTATTTTAAACATAAACGTAGGTATAAATAGTAATTGATCACGTTTTCGTTCACATATAAAACCTTTGTAATGTAAAAAAATTAGCATTTTATAATGAGTTCATCGAAGTTTCAATTTTTCAATGCATATAAATGAACCGCAAGTAAAAGGTAACATTTAATAAAAATGTTTTCTTGTAATATAAATAGTATATATAATATACTATACTATTATAATAAAGCGTAAACACACACTTCTTTGTTGCCTAAGATCTCAGCAATTACAGCATATTTTTGAATAACTCTTTTTTTAATAAAAAGCCCTACACTTACGTTGCGCTTTAGGCTACATATTTTCAAGCTATTAAACTTAGGGGGTGAATATTTTAGATAAAACCCAAATGTGGGAAAGAGACCATAAGTTGCTGCCAACGTCAAGGAAGCAAGGTTTGTATGTTATGTCAATTTGACATTTGCAATTGATAATTTGACAGATGTAAACGATAAAATGATTTTTTTTATAATTTTATGCGGATGAAGTCGCATGGGAACAGCTAGTTAAAGTATACAAAAACCGACAAAAATGATCTAAAGTGGATATCGCCATTGGTCAAAATTAGACTATTTGTAATCTTTTTTAAACGCTTTGTGCTCTTCATGAGAGACTTCCCAAAAGAAAGAGATAGGTATTCGTCTGTATGTTTGTTTTTAATTTTCTCCGCATTCATTTTAAATTTCGAACACGTTTAACCATTTGTGTAGTCTCGTATTAATATATTTGATTGTTGCATTTTTTTAATGTTGATATTTAATCTGTATTTGCGAATCACGTGCCACAGAATGGAATCACGTCGACGCCAGTAATTACAGCTGGTACGCGACTTTTTCACTAAAAAACAAGTAAAAATAAAAATTCCAAACGTGATTCGATTCGCGGCGATAAAACATTGAATGCTTTCTGTAATCATTTACAACACTGGCCTTTTGGATTAAATTTTTTAGACTTTTTTTATATCTCTTTTAGCAAATAAATAAAAAAACTATTTGAATTAATTTCTTTTAATTTGTACTACAAAAAACATCACAACATCTCACAGCCTAGTATACTAAAAACGGTCTAAAGGCCTGTCCCACCACTGGCTGATAGAGGCTCAGCTTAAAAATGACGTCACTGTCAGATAAAGGAACAAAATCCGGTATTTCCATCACATATTTTACACGTTGGATTGTTATCAGACAAATTACAATTTGGTGGGACAGGTCCTTACTCTTGTACGATTTTTATTATAAAACATATTTCTACTTAAAGTTTAGTCTTTGTCTCTGTCTCTGTTCTTTCTTCTTGGTTCTTTTTCCTTCTGTCTTGTTCTTTTGCTTCTTTTAAGGAGTCTGGTAACTTCTGATTATTCGTCTCAGGTAGAGTCATTACAAGGAAGCCAGATAGTGTTGCCGTGCAACCGAATAATATTGTCGGTAAGTAGACGTAAAATCTCGCCTAAAAACAGATTAAAAATGGATATTATAATTAAATATTAACTATTAAGAGATAGACTATTAGTAATTAAAAATGTATTTCTATTTTAGTGCCATACCAAGTAGTTACTGACGTAACTATTGTCTGACAAAACTACTAAATATAATCTCTTTAATAAACAAATTTTGCAAATATTGTAAAGAGGAAATATATATTTCTGTATGTATTGAAAAAAATGAAAAAATGCTGCGAGTAGCTTTAAGCTATATTTTTTTTAATATTTCTTAATTCTACGCGGATGAAATCGCGAGCAACAGCTAGTCGTAGATAAAGAGATATATAATATTGCTAAATGACTGAGTCGTTTTCCAATTTAGTTCCAGAATGTGCATTTGAATAGTTTAAAAATAAATACGAATTGCAATACTATTTTCATCCTTTTTAATTCAGTTATGCAAACTCGCAGGCTTTAAGAATAGATGAAATCAATGGAGTATTTAATCTGTTGTTGATACATTAATTTATTTCGCAAATTGAAATCAATTTTGGAACGAAACTATACGGATAATGAATTTACTTTACTCGTATATCCGGTTTACTTGTAATTGAATCACGAAATACGATTGTGAAATTTGACTATTAACTTTGTAAAGGCGCTATTTTACGTATTAAATATTATTGTTACTGAAAATATTTTACGTAGTTAAATACATCTTTACATTTTATTTTCCTTTTTATTAAAGAATTGTATACTATGCATTTATGTTTTTAATATAGGCAAATCAGAAAATAATGCACTATATATTTTAATCTAGGCATCAATAGTTTCGATTCCCGCTATTCCTAACATAACCTAAAATATCCTAGTACTATTTTGTTCTATTTCTAATAAATGGTTTTTATTAAAATATTGAATATTTCTTACCAATAGTGGAGTTTGTGGTGCAATAGTGGACCCAATCTTCCCGATAGTAGAACACACAGCTAGTAATGTTGTCCTGTAGTCGGTAGGGAATACTTCAGCCGCGAACACATACAGCGAGTTGTACGCGAGTGTTATGAAAAACTTCCCGCCCAGATAAAACACAGTAGACCAATTGCCATCTGAAGAATTAAAATAAAATTGTAGATAAAACGTTTATAAGTGACTAGTTAACTAGGAAATTCTAAATAATAATTGTGTTATAGCTAGGCACCTACCAAAAATATTTAGCAAATTTTCGATTAGGCAATTGCTATTTATAACGACAAGGTTCTGTATATTTAAGTTCGAATAGCTATATAGATAGAAATATTTCTAATATATGTAAAAAACATACACATTACGTTTACATTTCTCTGTCATTCTAATATTTTCTTATAAAATATTCACGATAACTTATTCCGTATGCGTATTACGTTTGATAACTTACAAAAACAGAATCCTTTGCTTGTACCTTTACAAATTGTTTGCAATATATTCGGAGGGTATAGCTAAGGAAAAGGCTTGAAACACGTAAGAAGGCGTGAAGGAAATATTTCATATGAATAATGAAATATATTGAAAAAAAAAACTATTGAAGATTTCTGACGGTTGACTCATAACCTAAATTACCATCATTAAGGATTGTAAACTCATTTCGAGGCTTATTTATTATTGCTATTAACAGTAATCAATCAACATTTGATAAGCAGGTGAGCAAACAATCTATACTATTATAATAAAGCGTAAACACACACTTCTTTGTTGCCTAAGATGTCAGCAATTACAGCATATTTTTGAATAATTATT